CGCGCGGACGGAATAAGCATTACGAATAATCGCGTGATTTGCATATCGCGTGATATTGCATATGCGATATGCAAAATTCAAATTCGTCTCATTAGATAGCAATTAGTTATACACGTTTGTTTGTGGAAGAGTTTGGACACAATGGATTGTGTTCAACTCGCCGTTTATAAGAAATTTCGAGGGGAAATAAATAGATAATAGAAATCTCGTTAGCCTCGATGGACGGTGAGATTAAGCAGTGCCGCTCGCCGACGATTAATGCACTTAGGCACTTAAGGGGGGAATTTTGTCTGTAGGCCAAAAAATAAGCTATATTCACGAACTTTTTTCGGAAACTAAGCGGACAATTGATTTCAAACTTGGTAGAAACAATAATAAATATTTAACTTATAAGAATAAATTTTTATAGTGTTATATGAATATTAATGTAGCAGATACAGAAAAAATAACGAGACGTGTTTAAGTGCATTTATAGAAAAGACTATGGACTGCTATGTATTGTTATGAAGATATAAAGCACCGTATATTGTGTTTTATTATAATTTCATGAAGTTACAAATCCGCCAAATCGGATCCCAAAGGGTTCCGTTGTATTTATATGTTTCCACTGGTTACATTCTCTAAACTCCAACGAGAATTTGATTTTGTTCCGCGCTGTATTCTTTGAATTTCAGACCTCACGTGTCTCAATTGCTTATAATTAATTATCGCACGTCGTCTGCATTAATTAACTTTCCTTAAAGCCACCGAAGCAGAGCGGTTCCGGTTTACGAAATTATTAATGCGAGAGAACGTTGGTGCAGAAATGTTTCGTTGTTTCAGGTCGAGCCGAAAGATAACACAATCAGAGCCACGCGAATATTATGCGAGTGTTAGAAAATAATACAATACACCATTTCCTCGAGCCTTTCAAGTATACTAGAAGAAAATGGGGAGACATGATGGCTGTCAGGGATTCTCTGAATTTAATAAGTACGAAAATATTTCCCCACCTCATTCCTGTTCCTTTCCCTGTTATCCTTGCAGCTTTAGGATACGCAAACTTAATCCCTCAGCATTGGGTTGGTACGTTTATAAGGCAGGTCACGTACGCACGCATGCACACACACACATACACACACCACTGCATGAGGGTCTTTTTCGGAAGAAAAAGTTCTGATAAGTTACATAGGCTGACCTCTCTATCGCCGGGTATAAGAAGCTCGTTCATTATAGAAAAATCGAACGTGAGATTTAGAAGGGTCTTAAATCAAAGCGTTCTGCTAGATTGTATATATTTATCTTCTACCTTTCAAACAAAAATAGAATTCTAATTCAATTCTTTGATGTCGTTCCTTTGTGATGTCATTCCCTTGTCCGTTCTTTACATAATTTTGTCACCCTCCCGCACGTAATTTGCGAATAATTTTGTTACATCGATGACAAAGTGGGAACTTTCTTAATGAGATTATAAAAACGATTTCATTCGTTTAAACAAAAAATATCAACTTATTTCGCAAGTTTGTCGTACTATTATAGAGAATATCCCATCACTATCGTGATGCCCGTTGATAGCCCAGAACCTAACTTAGTCCAACACGATGACGATAGCGGTGTCATGGTAAATGATCGATGGTAAACATTCTGTATATTTTTCAATGCTCTTATCGGTAACAGAGAAGCATGGTAATCGTGAAAACAATTTTATCGAGACAGTATTCTCATCTGAGTGTCGTCCACTGGAGGAAAGATCGAGGGAATTATTGTCCGTATCGACCGGTTGAGAATAAATATGATGCCAGCGGAACTGATGAATCACATCGCAATTTGTCGCCGTTTATTATTCCAATGCGAGTTATTTCAATCTAACAAAACAAGCGCGACGTTAATTTCCCTCGATATTGATTCGCCCCTTCCTCCCTCTGCGGACGTTATCTTGCTGGAATCAAGGGCGGTCTTTTTCTTCGATGTATATATCGACAGTTTTCATCTAGCTGTCAAATATAATGGAATGGTAACATGATTGTCGCATCGCGGTTTCGGTCTTCTACTCCGGCGTATTTAATTGCCTCAGTTTCACGATGCCGGACATATTTAATTTTACCGGCGATCGTACGTACGTGATCGAGCGACCAACCGACCGACCGCGCATGCCCTTCTTGTTGAGAAATTAATGTCGATCAACATCATCTTTTTGCTGTCGATGTGATGCGTCAATAATCCTCTTGAGTGAAGCTCAAACAATCGTTTGAGCTCATCTAATTCGCTTATCGACAGAACATTTCAAGAACAGCCGGTTTCTGCGAAACCGAAAGCGCGTGCTTCTGTAATTCAGCGGGATCGATCGATTGTGTCAATTTCGTTTCTGATAGCATTGTTCTTTCATGATTCCTGTTTTAATATCATCCCGCGAACGGAACAGTACTCTCTTTAACTTCTCGGAGTGAAATCTACGTTTCGCTCGAAGCGAAAATTCGCTCGAAGCGAACATAAAAGTATCTGTTATATCCATGATAAAGAAAAAAGATATGATGAATGTTTGACATCAAAACTATCAACGCCGTCGAAATGATCAATTTATAATTTCTTTAATAAAAAGATAATAAAATAAAATTAATCAACGCCGTCGAAATGATCAATTTATAATTTCTTTAATAAAAAGATAATAAAATAAAATTAATCAAATTAACCCTTTAACGCCTACTGGTAACTATAGTTACCAGAAACGCACTTAAGAATCTATAACTTAGTCAAAAAAGGAGATATTTTCGTTTCCTTTGCACCATTGTAAAGATGAATTCTTTTTTTAAAAAATGGTATATAGATTGTATGTAGATTCGGTTTAGTCAGTTTTTAGCTCAGTTTTAATGATAACATGTTTTGTCAAATTCCAAGCAGGTATAGTTAGCATTGTTACTGAAGTGCATCTAGAAGTGCACTATAAATGAATAGATTGGTATCTGTTGTAATTTTATACATTTAGAAGCTTTCTCAGATACAAAATGGGATTAAAAGAATACAGAAATTCAAAATGGCGAATCCAATATGATGGACATGAAAACCAAGAAATCAACCTATTTTCGTGAAACCTGGTAATCTACAGTTTTTTATGCAGCGAAAAATGAAGGTGAACGATTGACTAACTAAATGGTGATCTATTAGATATTCTTCTGAAATAGTAAATTTGACGCTCTGAACGATAAACTTCATTCACAAATATAGTAAAGTTTTAGCTCAAAAATGTCAAACTGACTATCAGAGTTATGTCGTATAGATTACTCTTCATTTTTCTCTGTATAGGTTGCTCATTTCATATATGCTTTTAGGATCCAAGTCGTATTTACCAATAAACAAAAAACGAACGATAAAAAAGCTAAATTAACGAAACCAACAAACGAAAAGCGGGAGCTTCATGTACTTATTTAATCAGAAGTAAACGATTGATGCTGATTTTCCGTGTAATTGTTTCACGGTTTTTTCATCTGGATAATCATCTCTGAGTGTGTCCATGTTTATCATTTTTACCGTCATATTTATAAAAAAAATACAAATTTATTCGTTCAGAAGTAGACTTACTTTACATTTTCTGTTCAAATGTCGATTGTTAGATTTCGTTTTTCGTACATCAGGAAGTGTTACAACAAGCACATGCCTGTTAAGGAAAACAGTAAAAGACGTTGTCAATTGTGCAGCTTGAAAGGGAAGCAAAGCAGGACAAAAATAATTTGCAAAACCTGTAAAATTCCCTTCTGCATCTCTCGATGCCTTATGCAATTCCATTGCGGGTAAATAAATATTAAGTTCTGAATATGAGTTTTATATTTCGAGAAATTTTTCCAATCATTAGGTATGATATAAAATTATTAAAACTAAAAAAGAGAATTTAACCGATCAGGCATATTTTTCGCTTCTGGGAGTAGATTCTGCTTGGGAAGGTAGTTTTTCGTAGATATAAAATTCTGATATTTTTTTTGGTTATCACTACTTATAGTCTCAGTTCAAAAAAACTCAAATTTTATTCTTAAAATATTTATAAAAAAGTCGGGCGTTAAAGAGTTAAATAAAAAAATTTAAATTAAAGATAAAAGTAATATTATTGACTTCAATATATTAAAAATTATTCCAATTTACAGCGATGTACTTCATACTTTTAACTGACGTTGAATAAAATTAAAGAGAATGAATAAATATATTTTTTCCTTGTATTATATTTTGTCCTTTCTCAAAAATTGTTATTTCGACAAATGACAGAAATCTCATAATCGTTAGTGATTTAGTTTAATATTAACGTCATGTATGAGAATCTTCCCTTTTTTTTCTCCCTCATATTTTTAAATCAATCCAACATTTGCGTGGCCAATTTTAGACCAATGTTGACTCACGTTCCCCGAATCGTTTGGAGAATACCTTTACTTTTCCTAAATCGATATTATCCCGACGTCGAAAAACATTTAACGTCTGTCTCAAACAAACATAACGCGGTGAGCTCAAATAGAAGTTTAGTAGGAGATACTCTAATCGATTGTCGAGCTACGCTATCCATCGCTTTCACGGGTTGCCGAGTTTGATTGAATTCAACAAGAAACATTGTAAATGGAAAAACTATTCGATAGTGAGCTGCGAAATCGTGCTTTAGTCGGGAAGAAGGAATCCGACACATCGTGATGTTAGGAAAGAGCGATAAATTCGCAATCTCTTGGAAATCCTTTGTCAAATCGTCTGTGGAAGAATGCTCCTTCGTCTAATGTTAGCAAATTTCCCCCGAATCTCGCGAAAAATTAAGTTGATAGAAAATGAGTGCAAAGGCGACTTTATTCGTCTCTTTATCTCGTCTTGTTTCGCGCGATAAAAGCTTTCTTTATCGACCCTAAAACCCAATTTCCCGCTCAATGTTCCTTTTTCTTCTCTCGGTTTTCGCCACCGCACTCTCATCGTCGCGCGATGATTTACGATTTCTTCGTTAAATGTTCTCGCGGGCTAATCCTCTCAACGCGATCGTCTACTGGCAAATTGTTACTTACTGCTCGGTGTCCGCAGGATCGTTGCTGGAGGCGCGTAGTGCCGTGTACAATGTGACGATTACAGTCGGCATCGACCATCCAAGTCCCATCAGCCAATTCACTAATTTGTGCTCGTTGGTGAATGCGTTTACCAGCAGGGTGCGCAGATAGAAGCCCTCGCAGAACATCCAGGCATAGTTTGTTAATAGGAAGTAATGAAAGAGCACATACAATACGCGGCATATCTGCAAAGGATCTGCAAAAGATACGTGAAAGTTCATGAATGGAAGTCCTTTCAAAACTGCTCAACTATTTGCGCACGCGACAGTAGCTCAATCAGAGCAATTGTGACATCGAGCTGCAAAATCTGATAGAAACGGCGCCGTGCTTCTTAATGATGCGGTTGACCGTTATTACCAAATTTGCGTAAATTCTTTTCGTTATATGTTACAGCAACACATATACGTCTGAGATATGTACGATAACGATAAATCAAATTGTTCGCAGAAGGGAACGGAGAGGTCGCAACCGTTTTCTTCACGAGCATTTCTCTTCTTTGGAATATTTCGCGCGAAGATTGTTGCGTGGCTCGAAAAATTGGCGAAAAAGCAATACAGAGATAACGTACGAGAATAACAAAAAATAACGTAAACTGGCAACTATATAGTGACCAACTATAGTCACGGGAAATGTGACCTTTGTACGAGTCTCATATTCTAAACAAAAAAAGCCTTTTACAGAAAAAGGATTCCTCTTTCGCTAAAGTGATTAAAGTGAACGATTCATTTAAAATTTATTAGATATTATTCTAACCATTTTCCTTTTATTTCAAGAAGATTCCACCTAATATCAATTAATTTTCCCCTTACAGGTTGCGTGAAAAGTACGCGGAGCGGAATCTATAAATAAACGGTAGAATTATAAATTGTAATCGGTTATATGGGATCACTCTTCACATGAACCTAGGTTAGGTTTCATTTCCATTTGTCAATTCTTTCTGTGTTTACAAGCCAATTGAAGTTGACGTGTCAGTATATTTGTTTGCAATGGAAAATCTGAAACAGCGTGCAGTGATTGAGTTCTTTGTTAGAGAAGGTTTAAAGGCAATGGAAATTCATTCCGAGATGGTAAATGTGTTAGGGGAATCTGCTCCTTCAAAAACAATGGTTTGTAAATGGACACTTGAGTTTCAACGTGGTCGTACAAGCATTGAAGATAATCCACGCAGTGGACGTCCAAAAAGAGCATCAACACCAGAAATCATTGAGCAAATACGTGTTATTGTTCTGAAGATCCAAGTGTGACTACATGCGTAAAATTGCTCATACCATAGGCATTTCAGATGAACGGGTACGGCATATTTTGCATAAAGAATCACAAATAAAAAAGGTGTTTGAGAAAGTGGTGCCGCATACGTTAACAATTCAACAAAAACTCGCTCGAAAACAAATTTCTCAGCGTCATTTGAATCGTTTTAAGAAGAATAAAACCGATTTTGTGCGTCGTTTTATAACTATGGATGAGACTTGGATCTATCACCATGATCTTAAATTGAAACAGGAACGTTTACAATGGACTGAAGCTGGATGTTCAGCTCCAAAGCAAACAAAGCATAAAAGATCGGCAAAAAAAGGTTTTGGCATCAGTTTTTTGAGATGCTAAAAGGATTTTGTTAATTGACTATCTGGAAAATGGTAAAACAATTAACTCTGAATATTATTGTAACCTTTTGGATTAATTGGACGCAAAAATTCGTGAGAAAAGACCTGGTTTGCAGCACAAACAAATCATTTTTCACCAAGACAACGCACCTGCTCATACAAGTGTTTTGTCAATGTCTAAATTCAATGAATTGAAGTACAAATTGCTTGATCATCCACTGTATTCGCCAGATTTGACACTCGGCGACTTCTATCTGTTCCGAAACCCGAAACAATTCCTCCGTGGAAAGCATTTTTTGTCGAATGAAGAAGCTATAGCAGCCGTAGATGCATATTTCACAGACCTTCCAGAAACACACTTCCACGATGGAATAAAATTATTGGAGAGCCATTGGGCCAAGTGTATTGAAGTTAATGGAGACTATATTGAAGAAGAAAATCATTTTATGGAATTAGGTATTCTTTATTTCAGTTTCGCTCCGCGAACTTTTCACGCAACCTGTATATGAAGAGGAATATGTTAATTTGATGTCGGCTTCTTTTGTTCAATCATGCTCCGCCTCTAGACATGAACGAGAAAATAATCATATGCTCATGGGTCGGAATATTTGGAACGCTTTTTAAAAAAAGTACAATCTATCTAGTAAGAGCGTGGTCGGCCTTACTTATAACTGATAAACGGTACCGCCCTGAATCTCTTGTGAGCCGATAGAGGGACACTTTGTCCTTGATGCAAGCAAGATGCTAGCAAGAAAGATTCAGTTGGAATCCTGCTTTAACACTACGTCAAGGACAAGCAAAATTAAAGTCAGAAGGTTTAGATATATCGCTTGAAACTATCCGAACTCATCTCCGCACTCATGACCTGAAATGGCGCAACAAAATAAAGAAACTTCTGTTGACCGAAAAACATGTGACGAAGCGACTCGCTTGGGCCCACGAGAACATCGATCAAGATTATAGCGACATAATTTTTTACCATGAATGTTCTATATGGGCACGTTGTATCCTCACGCGAGCCTGGTCGACTTCCACCAATAGGCTTGTCCAGCGAACAGTAAAACACGAAGTAAAGGTGCATCTTTGGGGCTGCTTGTCAAAGCAGGGATTCGGCACTTTGCACCTGTTTACCTACAACCTGAATGTCGAGAAAATGCTGAAAATATATAAAAAGGCTTTGTTACCGTCTGCCAAACGTTGGTTCATCGATAAAAATGAGGTTTGGATTCTGCAGCAGGACAACGATCTTGAACACCGCAGCAAGCTCTATATCGAGTGGAAGAAGCAATCTGGCATCATTACATTGGATTGGCCGTCGCAGTCGCCCGATGCAAATCCCATAGAAAATGTGTGGGCATACATTAGCAGAAGCAGAAGCTTCGTGGAAAATGCACGTACACTTTGAACAGTTATATATTGCGAGATTCGTCGGATTTGGAGATCCTTGCCGCTAAAATACGCCGTCAATTTGATCCAAAGCATGCCTCGGAGATGTCAGGCAATTATCGACGCCAGTGGTGACTGGACGCATTATTGACATTATTGCATCCTTCTTCTCATCGAATACAATGCATATATGTATTTAAAAATTTTATTTAATATATTTTTTTATAAATTAACCCGACCACGCTCTTACTTGACAGACTGTACATGACGTATCAAGAGGTAACTCCCGGATCTTTAGCGCAGTGACCTGGATGTATCGGCGCGGATACAAATTTTCATGCTCTGTCGACATAACGGCGGAAATAAAGGCGCCGATAAGTTACAAACTTACCGAAAATACGTGAAGATTCTAAGGAGAGTATAAGCGTCACCAAGGATATCACGCCTCGTAAATTTCATTAATTTTTTGCTGCCCCTATAACAATCGCAAATATATTCTCACCATGAATCCGTTCGTTCGTCTTTTCGTTTTACCTTGTTCGTCTTTCCGTTCATTTTCTCTTTTGATTTCGGTCTTTTCTTCAATGGTAGACAGAAATGTGGCTCGGGAAACGGAAGGTGATCTCTCGCCTTTTATTGCTCTTACACGTTCCGGCGATACTTCTCTGCTTTCCGCTAACATAATGCGTCGAATTTGTCTTAAATGTACCTTCGTCTCATCTGCAAAGCAAAGTCGGCCAGTTATAGGACGTCGTAACGTTGTCCTGTGTATGACAAATGTCCACTAGGCACGAAATGTTTATGAAACTCGGATACGACAGCCTGCCTCAAGGATAGCCACTCTTGCGATTAGAAACGAATCGGGCAATCGTTTTGGGCTCTCGGCTGGCGAGCAAACAGAAAACGCACGGCAAAGACGAATTCAGTAAAATTCCCGTTCATCAAATATTTAAGGCGGTAATGACGCACGGCGGAGGATGCAAAGGATCTGTTTTTATATTTATTACGGCCGGACGACCGGATGTCGATGTTTTTGAGCTTTGGCGCAATATTAACCCTTCCGCTCCGTAATGCGGTTGGGCAGCGCGGCATTATTCTTAACCGCACACATGCGCACACATCCACACACACACACACACACACGTCGCGTTTCTTATTAATAATGCGACAGCACGTAAGCTGTAGGCCATGCTTTCACGTTCCACTGCTATTTATGAATAAGGTACCAGCCAGGCTTTAGTTGCGCACAAAATATAAATGAACCTTTTATTACCGAACAAGTAAATCCACGCGGCACCGGCGAGTCAACTCGTCTGGTAAAACTCAGATTCAGTAATGAATATCGATCTGCGTCGAAAAAGGACGAATTTGTCGGACCAATCGGGTTGACCCTGCGTAGACACGACACTCTCACGAGCTTCGATCTTCTGTAAGTATCTACAGTACCGGCCAAAAATATACTACCTTTAACCATTTGAGCCACAAATTTTTCCTTTCAACCGATTTCTATAAAATTTTGTATCCAGGGATTTTTTGAGTCGCTGATTACTACCGTTGTCAGATTTTCGAAATTCAAAATGGCGAATCCAATATGGCTGACGTAAAATTCAAAATTTAACCAATTTCCGTGAAACTAGGTACCCAGCAGTTTTTAATGTCGCTAATTACAAATCCGTTGTCAGATTTTCGAAACTCAAAATGGCGTAGAAATCTAGGTTTTTTCAAATTCTCGCTGTATCAAATCAGCCATCGTGAATTTTGAAAATCTGATGATGGATTCATAATTAGCGACCTAAAAATCCCTCAATATCAATTTTTCTAAAAATTGAAGTTTTTTTTAAGTTTTTCGTCCGCCATATTGGATTGATCATCTTGAATTTTGAAAATCTGATAATGAATTCGTAATCAGTGACCCAAGAAAACCCTAGATACCTAGTTTCACGAAAATTGGTTGAATTTTTAATTTTATGTCCACCATATTGGATTCGTTATTCTGAATTTCTAAAATCTGACAACGGATTCGTAATCAGCGCCCCAAACAAATTCCTGCGTATTAATTCTCAGATAAAAATAATTAATTCCTCGCCTTGCCATACATTTATTTTTAAAAACATTTTATTGTGTTTACTTATTTACTATTAGCAATAATAAATTTAAAACATTTATAAGTAATTACAATTATTTTACATTAGTTAGGGTCTTAAGAAGCTAAAAAATATAATTGCTAAGAAATCGTTAAAATTGCTCATAAAATATGAACAACTGACGGAATACAGGTGGGTCTCTGGGTGTCCGCCTGCGTCACAAAGGGTTAAGATATTTGAGCATAACTTGGTTTGAAGTGTATGGATATATTCGGATATGTATTAGATCATAATATGTTTTGATAACAGGTGTAGCTTACCGAACAAAGCATAATACTTTCAATCAAACAACATCTCGTGAAAAATTTGAATCTATTTTCTTTACCATGAAGGAAGTTATGCTCAAAAATTCTAAAACTAATATATTTTTGGTTGATTTTGGTACTACAGAGAAATTTATTTCAATTCGGAAATTGTGTATTTTTATATTAATTTACCATCAGTCACTGCAGCAGAATTCTACGATGGCCGACATCCCGAGTAGAAAAATTAATAGGGCTTTGGTAAGGGCCTGATTATTTTTCCTTACATTCAGTTCATCAATCAGAGCTAGTAATGATAGAAAGATAAGGACCTTACAAGATATATTTATAACAAATAGTTTAGTGGGTTCTTATAAAGCAATATTATAAAGGCCTTAAAAGGAAATATTAACAGGGGTTTTATGAGGCAATATTAAGAGGACCTCAGGGTATTGAGGGATCATATTAAGATATGGAGTTAAAATCCATTCTAAAATTTGAGATATTCACTCTTGCAATTGCGACTCGAAATATTTTTATTATTGCTGGAGTAAAAATATTCATTCCTTTCATTCCAAGAAATTTAGACTGCAATTTCTTTATTTCTTTATAACCTTGTTCTTTATAACCTATACAACAAGAATTTCTTATTTTGAAAATATAGCATATTTTACGCATAATCCTGCTATTGGTTTTATTAAAGTTTGCTGCATTTCAAAACGAAGGCAACATTAGAAAAATCCTTAGAAAAGACTAATGAATATGACAACTAATAAAATTAACTAATAAAACTAATAAAAAGCTAATAAAATTTATTTTTAATTGCGATATAATTAAAAAATCTTTAAAAGAATAAGATAGATCATACCTGCTAAAACAATACCGAACTATGATAATTTTATTACATGCTTCAGATCTTATTAATTTTTTATAACAAAACTTGACTTTGTATATCTAAAGCATCCTTAAAAGATCCTTCCAAGGCCCATATCAGTTGTCCATGTTAAAGTCTTACTTATTAAATCCAAGTCATCCTTTAAAAATCCTTCTGAGGCCCTTCTCAGTTTTTCCTATCAAAGTCTTATTTCACAAAATCTAAGGCATCCTTTAAAAATCCTTCTAAGACACTTCTCAGCTTTTCCTATCAAAGCTTTATTTCGCAAAATCTAAGGCATCCCTAAAAAATTTTTCTAAGGCTTTTCTCAGCTTTTCCTATCAAAGCCTTATTTGTTAAATTTAAGGCCCTCGTAATGAGCCCTTCTAAGATCCTCATCAGTTTTTCCTTATCAAAATCATGTTTCGTAAGATCTAAGGTATCCCTAAAAGATCCATCTTGGGACCTGACGTAATAATAACGATAGGCATTCCTTTTCAGGGCATCCTACTTTCAGCCTTATCGGGGCCTTATGCTTCATGAAGATAGCCCTAAGAATTTTTTGCTCGGGATGACGGTGGAATTTTGTTGTTTGCGTGAAAGTATAAGCAGACACGATACGCCGAATTTCGCGGGTAATGAGACGGGAAGACGCCCCGACGTTAATTCTACGCTCGAAAAGTGGAGTCACGCGTCCGTTTATCGACATGCGCGTGATAAATACGCGGCTCGCGATAACCGGCAAGAACCACCCCGGAATCGTTCAGTGCCCTCGCAAAGCGGAAGCACATCCAACGCGATATCGTGTGCGCCGTATACGCGGCGCGAGTGCAACAAATTCATGCGTTTAATTCGACCGCGCGTGTATTCGAGTCAGTGAATATCTCATAATCATGAAAATCAAGTACGAGTAATTTCCGTGGTTTTAATAAACGGATCTCCCGCGTCCGGTGGCCCCGGTGGCGATAAATAATTCATGAAGTTCCGGGGCTATAGGCGGTCTCCGGTTCTATCTTCAGATTGCACGGCACTTGATACGGTAATAAGATAGATACGCGCGAGTCCGGGCCTCTTTTCTTCGATCCCAGTCGGCCGGATCGGATTAACATAGACCCGGAAGTGATATCGCAGTTGCATGCGGCGACACGATAAATTTTATCAACGCGAACAAACGATAATTGTATCCTGCCGCTGCCGCGCTCTCGGCTTATTATGTATCGATGTGGAGATTACGCTATCACTTGCGCGCTGCATCACGGTTTATTGGCACTCGCGTGCGCGGCCTATTAATACTGCGGGACTGAATGAATTGCCGATGCCATGCCTGTTGTATTGTCAAATAGAAATCGAGCAGTACGTCGCCGTCGATCGAACGTGCTAAATTTGCGTCGCGTGACGTCGGCACTGACGTTACAACAGCGATCGCATGATCTGTTGTGTAACGTTGTTGATCGCATGTGCTGTTTGATATCGACACGGCTCGATACTTTGCACGCGGCGCGGAAATACACCATCGGAAATGCAACCAACTGCAAAAATCCGCGAATATCCGCTCCGCTCGCGATAAATCTCACCATCGTTCGCACGATTGCCAATTCCGGAGATTCCCCACGCTTGACGTTACAATGTCATCCCGGCCACCGTCATTCACGCTGAATTGAGCGTGTATATTTATCATTTCTGCAGAAAGTTTGAATTTGTAAAAATGTTATTTCTTGACGAACGCGCGCCCGACGAGAGGTCTTCTTTTCCTCTCTCTCGATCCGGCCGAGAACGCCGTGCTCCCCACGATTTTCGCGAGTTTTTCCCCCGAGCGACTCTCGACGTATATTCTCCCGGGACGTACCGGAATTTGTCATGTACTTTTTTGTCAAATCACCGAGCACCGATTGCGTCGGAACGATTGCGGTCGCGCGGGTGCAGTAGATTGAAACGAATGCGAAGCGACGCGGTCGAAATGCATCGACGAACTCGGTTATCAATGCGAAGAATGGCGAGAGTTTAATTCAAACACGAACCACACATGTCACGTGGCGTAGCGCCAGGGTTGAGAAGCAACTTGTTACTTGTAACGAAGTTACAGTCACAGTTATCTTTTTTTGGTAACTCAACTTCGCTCCGTTTTTGCCCTCTGTAACTGTAATTTAACTCGGTTACATTTGTTTGATAACTAGCTTAACTAATTTAATAGTTACTTTAATGGTTACTTTATATATTGGTTACTTTATATATTAAACTTAAGTTTCTTAAGCATACAGTTATTCTAACTGCATTTAGAAAATGCGTTGTTGCGTGTTTAAAATTATTTATGCAAGTAGAACTTTGATTGCAAATTTAAGAAAACATATGAGTGTATGTTTTTATTTATAAAATATTAATATATTTTTTAGTGAAAAAATGTAATTTTTGATGTTAAGATTACTTTTAGTATTTTTAGTATCTATTATTCTCATCAAATTCATTCACTTTCTTATAATTGTTATTAATAGTCTTAAAGAATAAATATGAATTGCTTATTTAAATTAATGAATCTAATTTGTAAAATTATATACAATATGAGAAATATAATAATCAACAAACCACCTTTTATATACAATTGAGGAATTTACACAATTACAAAATCTAAAATAATAATAGTACAATTATTGTAAAAAAGTAACTGAAAAGTAACGACTCGTTACTTTCTAAACAACTATAACTGTCACATGTTATTTTTGAAGATAACTTGTAACTGTAATTAGTTACTTTTTCAGTGAAAAAAACTGTAACTGTAACTAGATACTTTTACAAACTAGATAACTTTCCCAACCCTGCGTAGTGCATACAGCACTTGGGTGTAAATTCGTCTTTTTCGTTTTAACCTGTTCGTCTTTCCGTTCATATTTCTCTTTGATTTCGGTCTTTTCTTCAATGTAGACAGAAAATGCTGGCTGCGGGAAACCGGTAAGGTGTGAGTGCTCCTCCGCCTTTATTGTGCTTCTTACACGTTCCGGCGGATACTTCTCCTGCTTTCCGCTAACATAGATGCGTCGAATTTGTCATTAAATGTTACCTTCGTGCGTTCATCTGCAAAAGCAAAGTCGGCCAAGTTATATGGACGGTCGTAACGTTGTCTCTTTGTATGACTAATGTCACACTAGGCCACGAAATGTTTATTTGAAACTTCGTGGATACGACAGGTCCTGCCCTCAAGGATG